TAGGGGTTCAGGGTTTAGGGTTGTTCTTTATTTTGGATGTGCTTTGCTCAGGTTCACCTCATGCTCGCTCGGCTGAACATCTCCTTCAAACCTCAAGCAGAGCTACCCATGAACCTTTAAATCTACATTGCAAAGCCAGAGCCCTCAACGCGTTTATAAGGGTAAGGGGGTTCCCTAAACCCGAACCCCCTAAACCCNNCCTAAACCCTAAACCCAAAAAACACACTAAACCTGAAACCTGAAGGGTTTGAGACATGGGGTCTATGATTCTTTTTGTGAGCAACCGTAGACCTGCAGGCAGGGACCCCAGTGTAAGAAACCACCTGAATTTTCGCTTCTCGAAGGGTCCGAAGTAATATTAATAATTAACAGAAATACTTATCACTATTAACAATGACCAGAATCATCATATAGATAATCATAGACTCCTCGCGCCAAATCTATGTTACTAACATAGTGGGACCCAGGAACTTCGTTGTTGGGTTCTTTGGACCCGTAGGACAAGGGTGTAGCGGTGAACATGCCTCTGCAGCTCTGAAGATGGCCAAGAGTCGAAGCAAACGGGCTTGGGTAGGGTTTAGTGTTTAGGGTTNNAGGGTGTAGGGCTGAACATCACACCTTAAATGCCCCTGAGGCTATAACACACGAACCCAAGCGCCAGAGCTAAAGCCAAAATACATGATCTCAGAACTCTACAAGCTGAATCCTCAGCACTAAAGCCTCAACCCAAAAATAAAATACCGTATTGATTCCACATGTCCACGTTTAGTTTCTTAATTGCCGCATCATAGAAACCCCACTTGAACACACTCAATCTATAGAAAGAGGTACTGCAGTTCAGGGTAAAGGCGGGCTCCCGTCCCAGCAGCCTGCTTCCTCTCCGGCTCGCGCCAGGTCGCCGGATGGTCCACTTGGAGCCCCCACTCCTCATCCCTAGGTGCAGCTCGTCGCATGGGCTTCCAGGAGGCCATGTAATGTATGGGAGTTTGTCAAGAGGATACACAAGAATACCGCTGTTACCTATCGTCATCATCATCACCACCATCAT